GCAAGACATTATCTTAAAGGTCTTTTTTATCTTATGTTAAAAAAAATCTTTCTAAAGTAATCAGAGAGATCCTCATATTTTCTATCTATAATTTACCTGTCATAGGCAAGGCAGTCTTCTTTCTTCCTTCCTTTCTTCTTCCCTCCGTCCCTCCCTCCCTCCCTTTCTTCCTTCCTTCCTCTTTTCTTTTTGACAGGGTGTTGCTCTGTTGCTCAGGCTGGAGTGCAGTGGTGCAATCTAGGCTTACTGCAGCCTTGACTTCCTGGGCTCAAGCAATCCTTCCACTTTGGCCTTCCAAGTAGTTGAGACCACCAGTGTGTGTCACTGTCTGGCTATTTAAAAAATATATTTTTTAGAGAGAGGTCTTGCTATGTTGCCCAGGCTGGTCTCAAAACTTCTGGGTTCAAGCAATCCTCCTGTTTCAGCCTCCCAAAGTCTTGGGATTATAGGCATGAGCCACCGTGTCTGGGCACACTTTTCGGAAGAAAGATCACTAATTATTTTACCTGTGCTTTTCTTCCTCTGTGATCTGGTGGCTCTCACTCCTCTCTTCTGTCCTCCTCCTTCCTTCTCTCCCCTATTCTCCTCCCCTTTCCTTGTCTCTCCTTGCACCTCTGATTGAATGCTTGTATCAGTTAGCTGTTTGGATTCTTCCTTCTTATAAACATCGTGCTTTTCTCTTTAGCTCATGACCGAGTTCCTTAGCAAAGTGCTTTATGGACGTTTAGGGAATAGAAATGTCACATAAAAATGGAATGAGTTGTGAAAACAGGCAGTTCCCATCTCCCACAAGACAGGCAAATGTTTTAATGACCTCCCTGGGAGGAGGGAGCCAAGGGCCTATTCGGATTTTATAGCACCATGGTTCAGGATATTGAATGAATACAGTTATTTCATGATTAGAAATAAAATATACTTCAGAAAATCTTTAAAATGTCCAACTGTGCAAAGATAAATTTTACCATATTTATGACTATTTATTTTAATGGTTTTTTTTCTGGTTACTTACCACAGATCTTATGTAATACTTCTGGCAGAATAAAACAAATTACTATTTTTGCTTTCAAAACAGATCAGTTAATACATTCAAAGCTATTGTCTTTTTCCTCGTCAAAGATGGCATTGTTAGAGCCAGCATATATAAACTTTCTTCCCTGCTGAGTAGACCACGTGGAAAAACGCTTATTTTTTCTTATAAGAATAAAATTGCAATCTTTCAACAGAACATGTTGATTATGCCATCTGGCACATAATTTCTATGCTTAAATTAAGCTGAGAAATCAATTCAGTGTTGAAAGATATTATCCGTTTAGCATTTTTTTTTTACCTCCAGGCAGTTTGAGAGAGGGGAAAAAAATAAGTTGTTTTCTTTTCTAAGTATGTGAATTATATAGGTCTTGAATATTTTCTTCTACATAGGGGAAAATTATAATTTATAAGTAGATAGCTACGATCCATTGGGATTTCTTGTTCTGAAGTTATGCCAAAACTATACTGCATTACCGGAACCTGCTCTGGAAGACCAGGTGACTGTCAGTTGAAGATTAGCATCAGTTGATGGATGTTGTGATCAAATGATAGTAAAGACCTGACCTAAAATGTATCTACATTTTGCTCAGACTATTCTTTGTTAAGTAGTTTGTGGGTTCAGGTTGTTGCTAACAGTAAAGACACAAATAAGTTAGCTTAATACACAAATCTGGCTGCCCCTAGGGCTACCTAGCAAGATTAAGTAACTAACAAACAGGTGCTGGGAAGCCCTAAGAACAGAGTGGAAATGACCACTTCTTAACTGGAGAGCAGAGGACAGCTCCAGCAGGATTCCCTTGTCAGTTTCTTCCTTGCCTCTCTCTCCTACTGCACGTGTGTGGAAATCAATGCTCAGTTACTGAAGATCTTCCAGGTGAATAGCTGAAGCCAAGAGTAGCCTTTGACTATTCTATAGCTGCTGGGTCAGAGGTGAGCTGATCGTGGGAGATGCTGTTGGGAAACTCAATTTCTCTGTGACAAATGCCAGAGAAAAATGAGCCTTGAACTGGAAGTTCACATGGTAGAAAGTGGGGAAAAGATACAAATTAGTTGGAATTTTTGCCTTCATCTCTTTGAGTTATCTTAAAAAGTTATGTTTAAAATAATGATTGAATATTAAGTTTTGTGATTTAAATAGCAATTTATTAAAATTAAAAATTAAAGAATGGGAAATTCACATTTATGGAGAGGAATCATACAGAAATCAACCATCTGGGGTCTCACAAAAACACACCTATCCTAGGTCCTTGATGGCCACCTGCCTGTTGATGTCATTATCCACCTGTCAACTGCCTGAGGCATTCGGGAGAAAAGAAAACTTAAGTGTTTTCATACCCAAGGAAGTTTATGAAGTAAGTGCAAGCATCACAAATGAAATTTTAAGAAAGCCTAGATCCAAACTCTAGCTAAGCAATAGGTTCACAATATATCTGGAAAAAGCATAATATAATTTTTGCTGCAAGGACTTTGCATAATAGTAATAATAATACTTTTCATCACACTTAGCTTTCAAAGCCTATTCATGTGAATTATGTGCTGTGTTTCTCATTAACCTCCTGCAAATCTAATATAATGGAGACACAGAACATAATAGTAGATGCTGAGTTGGAGTGAGATCCAAGGTTTTGGAGCTGAGGAAGTTGAAGCCATTGAAAAATGGCTTGTAATACTTGGCATGTATGCTTAAGACGTGTTTGCTCACCATGGTACTAATTTAAAATAATGGCTAATTGCATGCATTTGTAAAAATGAGGGCAGTGTATCCTGGTGTCTGCAGTGACAGCTTTCTCTCAGGGTAATCCCTGTATCACACTGTCTGAGACACAGGACTAGAGAGAAGATGGGCAGAAGCCTGTTTCCTGATGGATGGTGGAGTGCCCCTGTTCCAAGGCAGGGCTCCCACGCTGCAGGTCTGCCTGGCCAGCTCCCTGTAACATTCCATAACATGCCTCTACACTTTGTGGGAATCTGATTCTGTTCTCTTGTACCTCAACAAATGAGAGAGAGAGAAGGAGAGATCAGGTAAGAAAGTAGAAAAAAGCAAAGGCACATTGGCGAGAATGATTTCAAAGTCTAACCATTCCTGCTGAAACACCCCAGTTCCTGAAATATTTTGGAAGGATCTGTATATAAGGGTCCCTGGGAAATAATTTCTCTGATTGGCACCTTAGCTTTTAGATTCAATTCTTTTAGCAGTGAATCAACAAGTTCATTTGTGGAAAGAAGAAAGCTAGTATAATGAGGCATTAAAGTACAGCCCGGGAGAGTCCACCTCCTTGCTTTAGAGAAGACAGCTCCACCTTCCTTGACCTGGCCGACCATTTGTCTCAAGAGTCCAGAATCATTGGAGCCAAGAGGGGCCTGCTCCAATTTGTCCATTTGTTCAGTAGAAACATGGAGAATTCCTAAGGATGAGAACTTAATTTTAAATAGTGAATTAGAAGACTATCAAGTTCATACTCAATCTGTTCCATCTCTTCACCATGGCTTCTAGTCCTGCCAATGCCCCTGGTCTCTCCTGACCACTTTTGTTGACTATTGCCAAACCCTATAAGATACAAAAAAGAAATGATATTAGTAGAAAATGGATTGCCCACATTTTCAAGGCTGGGGAAAGGCATGAGCTGAAGAATTTCTAATAAAATTCTGACTCCCAAACAATTTGAACTTCCTACCTTTGCAATATGAAATGTACGTTTTATATACAATTTCCACGCCAATTTACAGGTGTTAAATTGGGAACAGGAGTAGAGTACAGACAAAGGGGGATAATCTAATCTAACAGCTACAGAGTTCAAACAAAGTTTGTTTCCTTTTTCTAATATCATCTGGATGACTGCAACATTTCATGCAAATCAATCTTAATTTACTATGTGTTTTGGCTCTTTCATAAAATAGTCTGACCATGGTATTTCTACATTTTAGCTGTAAAATTATCCATAAACAGGGCACATATTACATTTTTAATATATGAAATGATTCAGTTAGTATAAGAGTCTAGAAGAAGAAAGATTCCAGGTAGAGAGATCTAGCCTGTTACCAATCCCCCACAGCATTTCTGACACCCACATGTCACTTAGACTCAGGAGACCAGGTTAGAAATACTGTGTCCTGGGAATTCCTCTAGTATTTTTTCTACCACAAGCCCAGGTTAACTTTGGCCCAACTCTGCAGATCTACACATTGTCAGCCTAACTTTGCAAGAACTCTCAGGTAAATTTGGGCTGCCTTGAATAATTTTGTCAGTGCCCTTAGTAACCCATTCACTGCACTCAGCTCGATTCTGAAATTTTTTCCTTTTCAGTGCATGTTAGAGGATCTATGAAGTGGGGCCATCCTCTGTCAATGGCTGGAGGGAAGTGCAGCCTTCGGCTGGGGAGGCTGCCCTCAGATGGTCATTGATTTGGTTGCTCAAGTGAGTGTCAAGTCAGGAAAGCACAGGGAAGCCCAATACTTGCTATTTCTTCCCGAAAATTTGTAAACTCAGAGAACTTTTCCATTGTAGTTGGAGGAATTGGAGTTGGCGGCACAGAGATTCCTTGGAAGGCCTCCTCCGAGTTCTTATAAGCATGCGTGTGTATATACCCTGGTTTTTACAGGAGGATGACATCCTCCAGACCACCCATCCATCTCATGCAGGCAGAGCGTGTCACTGTGTCTGTCTCCTGACGGCGAGTCTGACATTACTGGGACTTTCACTATTGTATTGACTTGCGGTTGAGAGAGATCAGTGTTGCGTTACTTGGATTTAGTATGCTCAGACTCATTTTTTTCCACATTCCAAGAGGATTTCTTCCCTGAAAAAAGGGGGGGGGCATAGGAAAGCAAGTTCCAGTGTTTCTATTCAAATGTAATCCCTCATATCCTCTCTGGGCGCCCCCCAAAAGGACAGTTGTTTTTAAAAGGAAAATATCAGTTAAGACATACTATGTCACTAAAGGGACCTTTAAAAAGTCATTTGGCCTCCTGGCAGGACCACACTCTGAGAAGAGATCACAATCTATCCCTTTCTTCAAATCTCCAAAGTGTTTTTGAAACAGTTAATAATAATAAACAAGATAAGGGAATCCAGGTGCCACGGTCACGCGGGCACCAACGGCGGTGCCTCTGTGTTAGGTGTCAGCCAATTTGCAGAACAAAGCTGACCACGTTTTATAAGTAGTATTCTAAGAAGCAAAGAATTATGGACCTTTCAGAACATATGCTTCTATTTATTCTTTGTCATCATGCTGGGGCACCTGTGTTAGTTTTATGCCACTGCATGCAGACTCTTTGAGGAGTAGAATTCTGGTAAGTTCCAGCTGTTATTTCACCTGTGAGAGAAAAAGAAAAAAAAAAGGAAGAAAATGAAAACCAAAAAAAATAATAATAATAAACCCAACCTTCCTGGAACTTTCAATCTGAAGCGCTAAAATTATTGGGGAACCAATACCACCGCCAATTGAGATGGGAAAACAGTTAGTATTGCAGTATATGAATTCTATTTATTAAATGCCCAGTATAAAAAAGAAGACCATTGGTTCTTCCTGAAAGTAATGACAGAAGTAACTAAAAATTAACAAAATATAAGATTAATGTAGTGCTGGTTGTGGTTATTGTGAGAAGGACTGAATGTCCCCGTTAATTATATTGTTTACAGATATATAATGGTTACCATTTATTATTTATGATGTACTCTGCTAAGTACTACATACACATTATCCCACTAAATACTTAACAATAGCTCTGTGAGCGAACTGTCAGCATCCTGCTTATCCTGAAAAAGAAATACAAACTCTGAAGGTAAAGTAATTTACAAAAGCTCTAACAGGCAATAAGCTAGGTAACTGGGACTCAAACCCAAGCATCTGGTTCCAGAGCATGGGTTCAAGGCACTGAACTAGCATCTCACAGATGATGGGTTCCTGAACACCATGTGTGATACTTTCAGGTAGAATGTGGAGGAACTTTACATGTGTAGGAATGTCATATGTTTATTTGTTTTTTGACTCTCTTCTCCATTAAAATATAACATCTATGAGACAGGGCCTTCATCTGGTCTATTCACAGCTCTTATTTCTAGCTTCCCAGAATGTGTGTCACAAAGTAGATACTCAAAAAAATACTTGCTAAATGAACCAGTGACTAAAACTGTTGATTTTTATTACTTGGAATAAGACAAAAGTAGGTTTATAAAGAAAATTATTGAGAGACTGTAGGCCGGGCACAGTGGCTTATGCCTGTAATACCAGCGCTTTGGGAGGCAGAGGTGGGTGGATCACCTGAGGTCAGTAGTTCAAGACCAGACTTGGCAATATGGTAAAATCCCATCTCTACTAAAAATACACACACACACTCACACATACACAAATACACACAAAAAATTAGCTGGGTGTGGTGACATGTGCCTGTAGTCCCTGCTACTTGGGAGGCTGAGTCAGGGGAATCCCTTGAACCCGGGAGGCAGAGGTTGCAGTGAGCCGAGATCGCACCATTGCACTCCAGCCTGGACAGAGTGAGACTCCATCTCAAAGAAAAAAATAAAAAAGAAAAGAAAAGAAAATTATTGAGGGAATGTAAAGGGCATTATTAAAAAATGAAAGTATAGATAATGTGATGGAGATGATGTACACCATGAGAGGAGAATGAGACTTCAAGTGTGGCAGCGTTGTATACAGTACGTTTCCCTTCTACACACAAGTTAAAAGTGAGGCTATGGCATTTTCTGTGCACTCTAAGTCATGAGCAAGATTCATACATAAAATGAGCCCCATTCATCAGGGATATGGACGTGTCTGTGTAGATCTAGGAGATTTCTGTAGGAGGTTAGTTTTGCATCTAGAGTTTCAGTAACTATCACTGTTAAAGAAATGGAAAAAATGTTATATTTTCTTCTGAATTCCCCAGCACAAATGGCAGTAACTCTCACACACTGATCTGCAGATAAATAGGGAAGTTATTTTTTTTCACCATTTCTGTCTGACTTGGAAACTGAGCAGTGGCTGGTTAGTAAGAGCATTTTGTTTCCATTCCACTGTGTGTGACTGTCACCTAATACCTGTGTACTCTCAGCTTCTATATATTCGGTAAATTGTGTTGGATTAATAGCTGCATGGACCACGGCCAAGAAACCAGTGTATTAAAAGAGAAAAATTTCATTATTCTATTTATATTCATTTTACCATTGAGCCAGCCAATGAAACTGAGTTATGGATGGATGTCAGAGTACAGGAAATAATTTTCAATTTGAACAATTCTGCTTTATTTCTTCAGAAGTTGCACATAGAGGAGGAAAAGCATACTAACGACAATTGGCCTTTCAATGCTGAATGTTTGCACTAAGATTTTTATCATTGCACATTTTAAGAGAGGATCATGCTGAAAATGAAATCGTCTGATACTCTACGGAATTCTGAGCTGACAGATAGCTGTGAGGGCTTGGGGTCTCTCACCTAGGTGATGGGTACTGCTGTGCGCAGCCCCCAGCCCCGCTCACTTCCATCATCACCACTGCCTGCTCACAGCTCTCAGCGAGGGTTCCAGGCGCCTTTCATCGTTCCTGTAGTGAACATGCACCACTCAAAATACCAGTAATTAAATCTCTCATCAGACGAAATGCACAGAGCTTGAAGGCTTAAGCATTTTACATGGGGAGAGAAAGACGGGGAAAGCAACCCGAGAAAAACAGCTATGTGAAGAAAGCCTTCTTTGGGGAGTTGGTGTAGGAACATCCTTTGGGTGGTTTTGCCAAGATTGATAGGAATAAGGGATGTTTTTATAGTGTTCATTTGATTCAGAGAGTAGGCAAAAGGAGAAACTCTTTGCTGCCCTACTCTCTAATTCTGATTGGGCAGTGTGGCTGGGAAGCCAGGGGGTGGCTGGGGATGCTGCCCTCTCCATGCTGGTAGGTCCATATAACTGGGATGACTGGAAGGCTGGGCTCGCTTCCAAAGATTCTTAAATGTGAGCTTCTCTGTTAGAACTGTTTGAAATAGGTGGGCATAGGCAGGCTCCTTTCACTCATTCATTCAGGTACACTTAGTGCAGATCGACACATGGCAGGTGCACTTCTTAGGGGCTGGACATTAACAAACATTGTGATCAAAATCACGAAATCCCTACACCCACATGGCTTATCTTCCAGTGAGAAAGAAAAAATAAAAACATATTTCAAAGTACAGTATAGAGATGTGGCCACTAGTATGGAGAAATAAAGAGGGAAGAGGGTATTGAGAATCCTGGCGGAAGGGGTTCAGTGGTGGACAGCACAGTATGGATGACTTACAGAGAAAAGAAGACAGTTCGTAAAAGAGCGAAAGAGCCGAGTGAATGAGACATTGAGCTCTGTGGGCACAAGGCTGAAGGGCAGTTCAGGCAAAAGGAACAGCAGGTACAAATGTCCTGAATGGAATATGCCTGATGTATTTTGGGAAGAACCCGGAGGCCAGTGAAACTGAATTGGAGGTCTTCCTTTAAGAATACAGCTGGTGGGGAGTGGTGTCGACTCTGAGCTTAGATTATACCCTGGGATGTTAGGTCTTAAGGCTACAGATTGTATTTTAAAAGATTCTGATTAAAACTGCAAATGGCAACTTTTTTTGATTTCTTCAAATACTCAAAAAGAATTAACTTTAATATTTTAATAGGTTCCATCTTCTGTAACTAGTTTCTGGATTGTCAGAGATAATTTTTCATTAATAAAGCACCATTTGTATATAACAACTTGAAAACAATTTTTTTTAAAGACAAAGTCTGGTTCTGTCATCCAGGCTGGAGTGCAGTGGCACATCAGCTCATTGCAACCTCTGTCTCCCAGGTTCAAGTGATTCTCCTGCCTCAGCTTCCTGAGTAGCTGGGATTACAGGCATGTGCCACCATGCCCGGCTATTTTTTGTATTTTTACTAGAGATGGGGTTTCACCATGTTGGTCAGGTTGGTCTCAAACTCCTGACCTCATGATCTACCCACCTTGGCCTCCCAAAGTGCTGGGATTACAGGCGTGAGCCACTGCGCCTGGCCAACGAAACCAATTCTTTGAAAACATAATACAAGGTTTCTGATATTCTAAGGAATGTTGGCCTTTTCAGAGTTGTCCTTTGAGAAGCTGAACACATATTCTGGTAAGAGGCTATTGCTAAAAATATTTTGCATTTCCTACTTTGAAATCATTTTCCAAAGATTGGAAAATTAAAACTTTTTGATCACCTTTTGCATTGGACATATGAATTTGATTTTTGAAAGCTTGCAAACTATTTCCAACTGGTCCTGATGATGACAGAAGGTCATCTGTTGGAAACTGACAGCAGAAGAATGAGTGTGGTGGCAGTGGAGCATTAGCTAATTGAACAAGCCAGGGCTCAGCATTTTTTCTAACTTTTTTTCAAGAAATGATGAGGCTCAGGAGGAGGGCGATTATGAAATTGACCTGAAAGCCTGACCCCTGCAACGACACAAGATGTACAGATATGTTAACATATTAGTTGGTGGGTGTGGTGGCTCACACCTGTAATCTGAGCACTTTGGGAGGCTGTGGCGGGTGGGTACCAGAAGTGAGGAGGTCAAAACCAGCCTAGTTAGCATGAAGAAACCCCGTCTCTACTAAAATAAAAAATACAAAAATTAACTGGGTGTGGTGGTGGGCACCTGTAATCCCAGCTACTTGGGAGGCTGAGGCAGGAGAATTGCTTGAACGCTGGAGGCTGAGATTGCAGTAAGTTGAGACTGCACCACTGCACTCCAGCCTGGGCCACAGAGGGAGACTCCATCTCAAAAAACAAAATAAAACAAAACAAAACATATGAGCTGTGCTTTTTATCATCAACAAAGATTGTTTTCTGAATTGAAATTGCCCTTGATATTTTGACATGGGTTTGACATCTGCAAAGTTATTTCATATTAACTAAAAGAAGTCATGGAAATAATACATGTGCAATTTAGAGGATAAAAGTAAAATAACCCCCCATGTACCCACCATGCAACTGAACAGTAAATTGGCACCAGTAGCATGGGAGGCCCCTGTGTGTTTCTCCACCACTGTGTTTCCTCCTAACTCAAAGGAACCACAGCTCCCCAGTTTATATGTCTCTGCTCTGATCTAATCTTCCAGCCTGCTCGGGTCCCAGTATGGTCTCCTGTCTTCTGGTGGGTGGTCCCTTATGAACCAGGAGCTCGGCCACCAGGATTGAACATAGATGCTGAAGCACACACAGCCTGGCTCTGGTGAGCACCTGGTTACTGGTTACTTCCAGGGATAAGGACTTTGTGTTCGGAGCTCCCTTCCCTCCTGCCAGCTCAGTCACGCACTGTGCTAGATCTTCCTACGTCTTCTATTTTAACTGTGTTGTACCAGAAGTGGTGTCTATGAACATCCACTTTACCCTATTTTATATTAGATTTTCAGATCACATGCTTTAAGAATAATGACAGGTTCTGAAAAGAAAACCTTGTAATAGCTTTGGCTTCTTCTTATCCAGTGTGCACTTTTTAAGGCCACATGACTTCAATAATTCATGATGAGGAAAAAAAAATGAGCTTCAGGGTATCAACTTTAGAGGAATGTTCTTGTTCCATAATAGAGAAAAACAGATCTTTCAAAGATGCTACAATGTGGCAAGGAGAATGAGAGAAAGGAGAATTTAGGTGCTGGTAAGACCATTTTAAAGTCACATGTTTCTTCTAGTGCCAATTTCATGACAGCATCAAAGCAAGACATAACATATTAGAAAGAGTCTAGGAAGTTTCTAGTGGGAACAATTCTATATCTATTTTCACCTCATATTAAAACTTTAGTATCTTTGTAATTTTGATCTCCCGCTTAGGAAACTTAGCTGATAGGGAACATTCTTTTTACACTTAAGCCTAGAAAAGTGAGTTGATTCACACAATTCTTTCACTGGGTTTGAAGTTCTTCAGAAGTGTATTAATGACTGCATTTGACCATAGTTCATGTGATAGGCTATAGGACAGTCAACTGAAGTTTGTGATGATTTAAAATTGTAATTAGCAAGTAAGGGATCTGATGAAGTATTTATTTCCTTATCAGCAAGTGGAGACCAGGATAAAGAGAAGAGCATTATCATGACAATAAAGAAACAGGAGAAATACATGGTTCCCCTAGCATCTATAATTTAGGCTTTTGAATATGTGTATAATTCTTTATCCAAATAGAAGTTCGACTACTCTTGTGAATTTCTTGTTTAATTTTGAGTGAACTCCTCTATATTCTGAACATTTTTAAAAAACCATTTATCCTACTTCCATACCTGAAATGAAGTCTGGTTTTCCCTGGGGAAAATCTGGTCACTCCAAGACATTTCCAGAGAGAATCATCTATTCCCCATTATGAGAATCATCTATCCCCTTGTGAATGTATTGCTTCTCCCTCCTAAGCCTGAGGAGATTAAATTCCACTTGATACAAATAATAGTACCTTGCCTGGCATCCCACCGAGATTGATTCATTCATTCTTTAATGTTTTAAATTATAATTTAATATAATATTTGTTATTAAAGAATATATGTAACATATATGGAAACTGAAGCATAATGGTAGAATATAAACCCACACAGAAACCAATGGCGTTTCCACTAACAGGCATTTCCCCATGTGTGCCTCTTAGGTGCCAGAAGTGAATACTATCTCATTTTTCTTTTTTTTTTTGAGATGGAGTTTCACTCTTTTCGCCCAGGCTGGAGTGCAATGGCATGATCTCAGCTCACTGCAACCTCTGTCTCCTGGGTTCAAGCAATTCTCCTGTCTCAGCCTCCCGAGTAGCTGGGATTACAGGCACCTGCCACTATGCCCAGCTAATTTTTTATTTTTTAGTAGAGACAGGGTTTCACCATATTGGCCAGGTTGGTCCTGAGCTCCTGACCTCAGGTAATCCACCCACCTCGCCTCCCAAAATACTGAGATTATAGGTGTGAGCCACCATGCCAGGCCTATCTCAATTTTTAAATTTTTATCATTTTTTTGCCTTTAAAAATATAGTATTATTTGTCTACATGTTTAAGCAATATATTGTTCAACTTTTTTGAGCTCGATAATTATGTTAAGTGGTCTGGGACTTTCTTTTTACATTAAATGTTATATTTCTATGAGTCTTCCATGTCATGTAGAATTAATTTATTTTAAACTGTTGTACAATAGTCCATTGTGTAAATAGAAAAAGAGATCAGTGTACCAATTTTCCTACCATTGGATATTTGGGCTGTTTGTAGTTTTTTGCCCTTATGATCAGTATTGCTATAAACATTCTTGTACATGCCTCATGGTACACATGTGTGAGACTCTATCTATGGTATAGAGGTGTGAATAGTCATTGAGTAAATGTTACATTTTATAAGATGATGCCAAATTGGTTTCCAAAGTGGCTTTCACTTCCATGGGAAGTCTGTAAGAATTTCCACTGGTCTCCCCTTCTCGGTGACATTTTATATTGTCAGATTTCTTTTTCTTTTTCTTTTCTTTTTTTTTTTAGATGGAGTTTCACTCTTGTCACCCAGGCTGGAGTGCAATGGTGCTCACTGCAATCTCCGCCTCCCAGGCTCAAGTGATTCT